GGAAAAAAATAGCTTTTAAAATCTTTTTTCCATTTGTCCATGGGACAAGCTGCCTTAAGTTCTAAAATGCTCCACCAAAGCGACCCAGCCGCTTCAGCCAAAGCCCAAATGACCCGAGGCAAGATAGCAAAATGGATAAGGTTCACCTGCTAGCTTAAGAGCCCAATTCAGTGTGAGCTCAGAAATCTCTGCATGACTACCAAATAAATAAGTTATTAGAATTTTGGGATCCCTTCATGGTTACCAATATGAAACAGGGAGAAAGAGCGTCACCTAGAGGGTTCTTAGGTGTCATTCATAAAATAATTTAAGGATGGACCCAAACAGAAGCTTTTACAACTTTATTAGAATCTTAAAGAAAAATCCTCAGGGCAGGAGAGCTGGTTACCTTGGCAGCTGCCTTGGGGAGGTGAATAGTGGGAAGAAGGAAAGAAAGCCATGGAGTCATGCACGTTTAGAGCCTGCATGAAGGTCAGACACGTGGTTGACTCACAGCCAAAAGGCAGGGAGAAGGAAGCATTAGAGGAAACCTTTTACAACTTTATTAGAATCTTAAAGAAAAATCCTCAGGGCAGGAGAGCTGGTTACCTTGGCAGCTGCCTTGGGGAGGTGAATAGTGGGAAGAAGGAAAGAAAGCCATGGAGTCATGCACGTTTAGAGCCTGCATGAAGGTCAGACACGTGGTTGACTCACAGCCAAAAGGCAGGGAGAAGGAAGCATTAGAGGAAACGTGAAGAAATACAAGCTGCTAGGGGCAGCCCAAAGCCTTAAAGAAAGCATGTTTAGTAAGAAAGGCATGAAGAAGAAAAGGAGGAATTATGCTTTCCTGAAGAGTTCAGGAAAGTGGGCAGATGGAGACCTACATGGCTGTGGCTGGTCTGGAAGTTCTGCGGGGATCTGAGCTAGTTCCAGGTAGGAAATACTCGCTACATCATTAACACACCAGGTGTTCCGCCCATCTATTCAGCATAATTTAAGATGAGCCTGCCTTCCTGAGAGTGGTTCTATCACCAGGTATTTGACCGGTGAGACTGGAAAAGTGGGTCCTGCAACAGATAGACTAGACATTTTTTATAGTCTGGACCAGTTCAATTTATAGGGCTTAGTGATACTCTAACAGGTGCTGTCACCCTTCCCACAACACAGGATGACATTGGCAGGTGCCCACTATCCCAGCTGGTGTCACTGCCCTTTTAATGTCCTAGAGCTGAAATCATGAGATGCAGAACT